AGTTGGAGTATCCTCGTTATGGATGAGTGCTGTGGGCCGCTGGCGATAGAAATTGTTCCAGGGAAGCATTGCGATTTCAGCACCTATCTTGCCAAGAGAGCGAGAGCTAAGCACCTGATTCGTTGCTGCAATCAGAAGATTTATTCCCAAGAAACAACACTGATGCAGAGTAAACCAGTGCAACAAGTGAGCTCAGTAGGCTTCCGGCCATGGTTACGGCGGCCCGTGCGTCCTCTCCGCAGACCCAGAGACCCCATTGAAGTGAACTTGATGCGTGCCCTCTCCAAGCAGTGAGAACATCTGTGTGAACATCACTTTCTCCTAACCCCATTGAGGCAGAGGCTACCCCCAGTTGGCCTCAGAAGGAGGGTTGGCACCGCCCCGCAAGACAATACATTGCACTGAATCAGCATCCCCCGCAACTGGGTCAGATTATTTTGTACCCCATAGATTTCTGTCTTTGTGTTGAGTGTTTGAATGTTTAATGTACGTATCATATTTATTGTTGTAATAAGTTTATACTCGAACTCTCGTGCTTTTCCTGTTAACAGTAGCCTGTAATAACATGTGTGTGTCTAAGTATTAAATTATAAACATTACTACGTCAATTTCAGTGTCATCATCTTCTTTGAACATTTATAACGTGTAACATATCCTGCAAGGAATATTTGTGGAAACCTGAAGTCTTCTCAACTGCTTAGGTATTTCTTTCGATTTTCGGCTTAACAAAACTCGAGTTAGATAAGAAGCTGAGCATTGCAAATTCTGAGAGTGCTATATGTCCAACTCATCCGCTCCTCCTTGATGTAATCATCCTAGTAATATTCCTTGCAGAGTAGAAATTATGGGAAACCCCGTCGTCCTGTACAATGCTTTCCCATCCCCTTGTTACCTTCTCCTCAGCGCTCCAAATATTCGTCTTAGCACCGTTCTCAAAAACCTTCAGTCTGGAAGATTCTAGACGGTTCTGACGTTGGTGCGTGTAACTCGGCATTGCTGGCTTTTTGGTGTTCGCATTCCTGTAATGAAGACAACACCACACGCTGCAAGGGGGAACAACGCACAAGCAAGGGGCAAAATTAGAGATTGCAGAAGTAACACAACAACGGGCTTACCAACAGAAAAACAGGCTGCCGCATTAAACTGTGAGACGTCATGGCCCCCACATTTTCAGTAGAGCATCAGCTCACAGATGGCCGTGAGTTTGTCGGCCTTACGCGCCTGTCGTCCTAACCTCACCCCCCAGAAGATTCCTGGTACTGATTTCTGTTAGAAGCTGAGTCGACCCCAGGGCCATATTGTGGCTGGAAGCATTAAGTAAATTGAAAAATCCACCTTATCGTCCCTCGAACCCGCGACATACCGGCTTGTAGCATATTGCCTCAACCAACTACGCTACCGCGTACTCCCCATCAAATTAAAACTAAAGCTCCGTAGCCTGTAGTCCGCAAGCGAACTATACTGACCGAGCGATCTCCGCTTTTTGGCGAAATTAGTGCCAAGTTTTGCGGATAGAGTGTGTCACGTGGTCAGCGCAACGGATCCCCATGGCCGTTAATCTCGATTTTCTAGACCGGAGTCGCTATTTCCTTGAAATATCTCCTCAATTATCCTCACGAGGCTGAGTGGAGCCCGTTCCAGACCCACTACTTCTCAGAAAATCTGGTAGCGACGGGAATCGAACCCGGACCTCTGGATCTGTCGCCAAGAGCTATGACCACTAGATTACAGAGGCGGTCTTGTTTCAGATTATCCCGCAAAATTTTAATATGAATTTCTTTCTCGTCTCTGCTGTATGTTCTATTCATCTCATCCACCTTTCAAATTATTTTCTGGTAATTGTTTATATTACTTCTTTCATGGAGGTTAATCCTATCAATTCTCCTCTTTGTGAGCGAGTATTTGCGTGTCATGGATGGAAATATCTGAATAATTGATACCCCTTATATATCAGTTTGACAAGACCATCTGATGCGACATATATGAATCCCCATAATATACTTTTTAATTCAAACGAAATTTGAATAATTGAAATCCATTATACATGTCTGATAATACCATCTGTGTAGGTGTACACGTATCCCTTTCATAAACTTTTCAGTTCTTCCTGCATGAAGTCTTTTCGAGTGAAATAAATTAGTTTCATTGGTCTAATGATTGATTGTATTTTCCATGTGATATGTTAGGTTCTTACGACGTGACTATTAAAAGTAATATCGTCTGGTTTACGACGCCGTGTAATCTGATAGACGTTTACCGACGTTTCGAAGAAAGGTACAGACTTCATCTTCGGGATCAACGTTCATGCCCAGGAAGCAAACTTGTAAATACAGTAAAGTGAGTTATGTACATGGAGTCACATTCAACAGATATTAATTAATCATCTATTCTTTTCAACTTCAGCATAAAATAAAATGGGACGATGACCGTGAATTGAGAGGCTCTACATACTAACGTGTCCAGGCATGAATTGACTTCTGTCGCTCGGACGCTGGGATCGTTGATTCGAATCCCACTTAAAGCATGGATGTTTCGTGTGTGTGTATGCGGTTATTCGGTGTTTGTAATGTCCTGTATGTGCAGATAGCGGCCTTGCGAACGGACGGATCCCCTGTCCAACGAGTTTTACCGACTGTGTAAAAGATAAAGAAAGTGAAAAGTGACCAAGGTCCAGAAAAAATGGCTGTAGATAGAGAGATAGAGAGAGAGTAGATTATATCACGGCCACTGAAATCCTCTGAAACCACCAATTTCAGTTCTGCCACTACTATCCTAACACGACTGTCATTCGGTAGCTGCCACCATGTCGGCTAATGTCTGCGCTACTTAATGTGATATTCAGGTAATTCAGCTGTACAATACTTCTCTCTCGTTCTCTCTCTCTCTCTTCTCCCCGCGATGCGTGAGAAATCGAATAATGTTTGGAATAACATGTAAGATGGTTACCTACGCTACTTTTATTAGCATATGCACAAATGCATAACCCTTATTCATTATTCTAATATAAATCCAATGATTCAGCGTGACCCTTATCCTCGGCTTTCCACATTCCTGCCGAAAGTAATTTTATTCACATTTACTATCATTTCTACTAACCTTAACCGCCGGCCGCGCCAGAGCTCAAGCGGTTAGTCGCTGGCTTCCCACTGCGGCTGCCCGGGTTCGATCCCGGGTCTGGTCAAGTGGAATTTTTGGTGGACAAAGTGGCGCTGGGGCAGGTTTTCTCCGAGTAATTCAGTTTCCCCTGCCAATCTTCATTCCACCAATTGCTCCACAATCACCCTCACCTATCATCTGGGGCTGGTAAAATAGGCCAGAAGTGGCCACAGTACAAGGGACTTAGTCCTACCCCACTAGCAATGAAAAAAAACCTTAACCTCCTCTATTGTCTAGTGGTCACAGTTCCTGCCTACAGATCCAGATGTCCCGGGTTCGATTCCCGGCGCTACCAGATTTTCTGAGAAGTAGTGGGTCTGAAACGGGGCCCACTCAGTCTCGTGAGCATAATTGAGGTGTTTCAAGGAAATAGCGGTTCCGGTCTAGAAAACCGACATTAACGTCTGTGGGGATTCGTTGCGCTGATCACGCGGCACATTTATGCCCTAAAGTTGGCACTAACTTCACCGACAAGCGGCGGTCGCTCGGTCGGTATAGTTCGCTTGCGGACTAAAACCACGGATTTTTGTTTTCTTTTGTTTTACTATCACTTCTACTAACCGTAACAGTCCCTGTGTTCTAATGTTCAACTAATACGACGAGGAAGCTCATGTCCTTACTACGGCAGCATTGGGTATACACGTATAAGAGTGTCCACCTTACTTACTTGACTCTGTACAAATTACGATTATTAGACCCACGACTGAACTCAAGGATCCTGAATCCATAGTTGCCTTTGCTAGGGCCAATCAAGTGTCTGCCTCCTTAGTGGTCTCACTGACCGGAAGATTAACGGCCGTGTCTGGCTCCTCTCCGGCGATCGCCCCGCTGGCTGGTACGGTCGCTCTGCCATGCCTGCGGAACCTGCTAAGGGCTGCTCCTCTTATACAGTCTGCTACCTTACTTTCCTTAAAAAATTAAAATCTTAATTCTAATATGACTTCATTGCAGTTTCATGCTACTCTCGTGTTTACCTAACATTCTAATCTGCATCACAACAGTACCCGAAATTCTCTGGAAGAACATGTTGAAAATACAGAAATAATTAGGGACTATAAAATGGTAACTACTGACATTCGCATCGGCAGTTCCGACTGGCTACGTGCTGGACTGTCGAAGGTAGAAATTTTGAGTTCCGAAAGGGACAACATTTTTCTCTTCTCCACGTCGTCCGGATCGGTTCTGGGGCCCAACCAGCTCCCTATCCAGTGGTTACCGGTTGTTTTCCCCACGAGTAAAGAGGCTTATTCGTGAAGTGCCGAGGCCAATAATACGTGGATCTATATCTCCACTCCCCAATACGTTTGATGGTCTAGTGCGTAATCACTTACGCACAATTGATTCTTCTTAATTTTATCCTCGTAAGTGTTGTAGAGCCGGTCACGGTAGCCGAGCGGTCTAAGGCATGCACTGTCTTGGCTCGCTCGAAAGCCGGGGTCGTGGGTTCGAATACCACTCAGGGCATGGATGTTTGTGTGCGTTTTTCTGTGTTTGTCTACAGGTAGAGGCCTTGCGACGAGCTGATCACCCGCCCAAGGAGTTCTACCGTATGTGTAAGATCTAGAAAAACTGAAGTGAACGGAGAAGTTCATGGAGGTATGCCTAGGCCCACTGGGGCTGTAGTGCCAAGGAAAAAAATGTTGTAGAACCCTGGAATTTTAGAGTCACTTCCGCGTTGCGGGCCGGCCCGACTTCTCCGTAAGAACGTCTGACTCTTCTGCCTGATCATACTGTCGCACAAGTGTGACTGCAGTGGCCGCAAAGGAACGTGTCCAGGCGCTTGCAGGGCTCAAATGTAGGCACGGCGTTTGCAAAAGTAAATTGAGCTTGCCCTTGTGTTTCAGATATCGATCTAAGCGACCCAGAGACCGAGAAAGCAGCCACAAAAATCCAGGCTGTGTTCCGGGGTCACAAGACGCGTCAGAATATGAAGAGCGGCGACATCAAAGAGGCAGTGCAAGATCTGGAAGCTGAGTTTAGCCCTAACGATCAAGGTAGGCCATGACATTTTGAATGCATGCCAAATCATAGTCTAAATCCTAGAATTATGACAAAACGTGTTCAAGAGTTTTGGTACACGACTTCGAATATGGATCTTTTTCTTGGTAAATTTTAAGAATTCTAAGAAAAAGCTGCAAAGAAAAAAAACATTAGCCTGATTTATTTCAAGAAAATCGTTACTGTGGGCAGGAGCTTATGTTGTACTTCGAGAAGGAAAATGATATAAGATTGGCCGCGCCATAGCTCAAGCGGTTAGTCGCTGGCTTCCCACCGCCGCGGCCCGGGTTCGATCACGAGTCTGGCCAAGTGGGATTTGTGGTTGACAAAGTGGCGCTGGGGCGGGTTTTCTCCGAGTACTTCGGTTTCCTCTGCCAGTCTTCATTCCACGAAATTCTCTATCATCATAATCACCCGGGCAGGTACAATAGGCCAATCAGTGGCCGCCGTGCCGAGTGGACCCAGTTGGACTCCACCCCCCACTAAGCGAATTAAAAAAATTTAACACGATAAAAGATGGTTCTAAAGGGTTCTGATGATGGTTGATAACGCACATAATACTGGGTTTTTGGACTTTTTCCATCGTCCGGAATTCTAGGAAAGAGAGGACACGACGTTTCGGAAACTGGATCTGTTTCCGTCTTCAGGTGAGAAATTAAGACACCTACTCAGTTGGTTCCCTTAGTAACAGCTAATCTCGATCACTGGACAACTGTGAGATTTACTCAGCTATTTCAACAGGCTAGTTCAGCGGTATATGTTATTTTATTTTATGGTTTCTTGTTATCTCCCGCTGAACTAACCTAGTCTTATATGTTAAAATAGCTGGGTAAATCTCACAGTTGTCCAGTGATTGAGATTAGCTCTTTCTAAGGGACCCAACTTAGTAGGTGTCTTAATTCGTCACCTGATGACGGAAACAGATCCAGTTTCCGAAACATCGTGTCCTCTCTTTCCTAGAATTCCCGACGATGGAAAAAGTCCAAAAACCCAGTAATTCTGTGGTCCGAGATGCTGAGGTTCGCATTATTTTCTGTCCACATGTCAAGTTCTCGTGAGTTTCTGAGAAAATGTATACAATTTAATATGTTTTTGTATAAAACAGCCTCAGTATCGATCCGACGCGGAAGAAAATAAAAATTCACCAATCTGAATTTATTAAATCAGTTCATTAGTTTGGTAACACGAATAAAATTTGATACATTTTCCTCTTCCAATATGTGCCCAATTTTTGCATCTTACATGATGGCATCATAAAATTATTTAGTGATCTGAAGATCCCGAATGTGGTATTTCAGTTGTTGTTTTTGTTGTTGTTGTTGTTGTTATTGTTATTGGAGAGGCTGGGTTTCCCAATGCACTTAGACCAGATATTGGTCCATTGTGCGTCCCCTTGTAATATTCTACCAGTCTCTATACCCTACCGGTACTGGTGCGTGCCATCAGTCCCGACTCAGCCAGCGAGTTCGGCCTCTACTGGCTCAGCGTATCTCGATGCTTCCCCCATCTACCAGAGGCGTTAAAGACTACTGTTGGGCGGGAAATATCCTGAATTTGGTTCAGAGGTCCCCTTGAGACATGAGGTTCTTTTACGTGCCGTAAAGCTACGACACGGGACCCACGGCTTAAAGTCCCTCCCGAAGGACTTGTTCCCTGAAATTTTCGGCCCTTAAAATTTCCATGACCTCCGTCGGGTTTGAACCCGCGTACCTTGAGTCACGAGGTGGGAACGTTACCCCTAGAGGCCGCTGGTATTTCAGTTTCTCATGGCTATAAAATTTAAGATTATGGTCTCTGAGATATGAAAGCAGAAAATTTGGTATGCAGATAACTTTCTTAGGTTTTAGGAGGAATTCTCTGCCTCCCTTTTCTGCACTGCATATGAAAATAACCGGTTCCTTGAAAATGTCAGTAACTATCTACCAGACTTACTTACATAATTACTTCGGTACGCGCCATAGCTCAAGCGGTTAGTCGCTGGCTTCCCACCGCGGCGACCCGGGTTCGATCCCGGATCTGGTTAGGTGGGATTTGTGGTGGACAGAGTGGCGCTTGGGCGGATTTTCTCCAAGTACTTCGGTTTCCCCTACCAATCTTCATTCCACGAAATTCTCCATCATCATGATCACCCGGGGCAGGCTACAATAGGCCAATCAGTGGCCGTCGTGCCGAGTGGACCCAGCTGGACTCCACCCCCCACTATGCGAATTAAAAAAACTTAATTACTTACTTTCTTACTTACTTACTCATGAAACTGAGCCCTTTTGGAGGAGTCACGAATTCTGCAGCTACTCAGAAATTTCCCAGCATTTTATGAAACCCAAATGTTCATTGCCGTGTTCACAAGAGCCTTCCACTGGTCCCTATCCTGAGCCAGATCAATCCAATCCATACCATCCCATCATATCTTTCTAAGATCCATTTTAATATTGTCCACCCGCCTAAGCCTTGATGTTTCCAATTCTCTCTTTCCTTCTGGCTTTCCCACCAATATCCTGTATGCATTCCTCGTCTCCCCCATTCGTGCTACATGCCCTGCCCAACTCATTCTCCTTGACTTAATCATTCTAATTATACTTGGAGAAGAGTAAAAGTTATGAAGCTCCTCATTATGCAGTTTTCTCCGACCTCCGTCACTTCATCTCTCTTCGGTCCAAATATACTACTCAACACCCTCAGTCTATGTTCCTCCCTTAATGTCAGAGACCAAGTTTCACGCCCATACAGAACCACAGGCAAAATTATAGTTTTGTACATTCTAATTTTTATGTTTTTGGACAACAGACGAGAAGACAAAAGATTCTGGAGTGAATGGTAGGAATCATTACCAGAGTTCAATCTATATACCGTTACATAGAGTAGAATAATTTGTGATATATTGATGTATATTGTACCAATATAATTTAAACAACTAAACCTGAAAGGGCCGGTCACGGTAGCCGAGCGGTCTAAGGCATGTACTGTCTTCGCTCTCTCGGAAGCCGGGATCGTGGGTTCGGATCTGTTTCCTGTTAGGTACGGACTGAATTCTTATATATTATTCTTATACACTGCCGATCACGGTAGCCGAGCGGTCTAAGGCATGAACTGTCTTCGCTCGCTTGGAAACCGGGATCGTGGGTTCGAATCCCACTCAGGGTATGGATGTTTAGTTTGTGTGTGTGCGTTTTTCTGTGTTTGTGTACAGGTAGAGGCCTTGTGATGAGCTGATCACCCGCCCAAGGAGTCCTCCCGTACGTGTAAGATCTAGAAAAACCGAAGTGAACGGAGAAGTTCATGGAGGTAGGCCTAGGCCCCCTGGGGCTGTAGTGCCAAGGAAGAAAAATAACCTGAAAAGATCGCAATGAGGATAAAGGCTTTTGGATTGACAACGCTCCGACTGACCGGTTGGAACTGTAGAAGCCTGTAGTGCAGCAGAACTTAGCCGATACTTTTCGGGGCAGTTCATTTCCAAGTGCCGAAATACGTTTCTTCACACCACAAGCCGTTGGTCACTGTCTACATCACTCACATGACGTGCTGACAAATTTGTTTGTGCCGGAAGTGATTGAGTGTTCATAAGCAGAAGTGGAGACACCGAAGAGGCGGTGACAAATGAACGTCAAAATATAAGGCCATTTTGACGTCACAGTAGGAGCGGGGGCGGAGATTTTGCGCAGTGAAAAGGTTAATTAATCACAATGCTGAGATAGAATAACTCAGTGTTACAGTAATTCCTATGGGCTCATCTACCAAGTAAGTTAACTCAGGCGATGAACCTACTCTGAAAGGTTCCGGTTTATATCTCTACCCCGACTGACATGTCGAACTTAGGTTTCGTCATTTTCCTCAGTCCAAGAAAATTCTTGGATGTTACCTCAAATTAGGCCACTCGTTTTCCGTCCACCTACCGTCCATGTCAGAACTTGCTGATCATCAATGCTTTTGACTCTGTGTAATCTCAACTAACTTACTCATCGGTAAGTATTATTTTGCCTCTCCTCTTGCTCCCACTTTGGAACATAGGGCTAGTTTCTCAGTTACATGATCATTTTACAGAGGTAGGACTCCTTTGGTGGGTGATCAGCTCGTCGCAAGGCCACTACCTAAACACAGGACAACACAAAGACAGAATAAACACATACACACACCAAACATCCATGCCACTACCATGTTTTGAAATGGGGCCTCCTCTTCGACGAAAAGACGGTTGTTCCTACTACTGTCTATTACGGCCGGCTTTAACGAATTTCTTAGTGAGATAGTTTCGTATGTTTGCCTATTGTGGGTTACTTACAAGCATACAGAGTTCTGTGTATGTCCGGTCACGAAAACACTCTAAGAATGTAATTACTTCATTACCTTACTGAATTGTTTCATTCATTGGTGCAACTTTGAGTGGAGTTGCGTGTCAGACTGTAGTGAGTCCAGCACACTCTATAGGATACATTAAAACTATCAAGAACTTTGCAGCAGTTTGTGAAGTTTGAATTGTGGGCGGGTTGTGGTTTCGTGTACCAGCGATGGGTTTTCAGCCTTTGTGATATGAGGAAGGTAAAATTCACTTGAACTATTTGCCTGTTTGCAGTTTACAAGTACATATTTCACCAACTTGAAATTAAAGAGAAGACAAGGCCCTAATTGTAAAATTTAATAACTACTGGGATACAAAAACAGTCATTCTGGAAGATAAAAGTAGGTAAACCATTAAAAAGCCTACTTTTTATGGAACCTGGAGCTCCGTTGCTGTTTCTCTACCGAGAACCTTCAATCCCATCTATTTAAGATTTATTTTGATATTGTCCTCCCATCTATGCCTAGGTCTTCCAAATGCGCAATGCACTTCGTGTTTCCTAGCTCTCCTATGTCCCACCTATCTCATGTTGCTTGATCGAATTGAAAATTTGGTTGGAAAACTTTAAGCAGACAGACAAACTGAAAGCCTTTGAGTAGATAGGAGGTTAATTGAAACATGCAGACAGAATTATCTCATGTCCCATTTTGAGCCCACTTTCCT